TAATAATTTATCAATAACACAACTGGCCTTTGAAAGGTTTAGCTCAATAGTTGTGTAATGTGATATTTGGAAGCAGCTGAACCAAAATCAGAGATACATTTCCATAAACAACATAGTTTTAGCCACATTATAAAATCAATCAGATTTTTTTTCTTTGCATGACTGAGATCAGAGACAAAGAGTCAGATGTAAGTTGAGCCTCTTCTCTTTTGCTTCAGCCATTCTGGCTCTGACCTTCCCCTCGATCAATAAAATCAGGATCAAGGAACCAGGCCATAATGGGGAAATGAAACATTGCACTTGTCTACCAGTTATGATAAGAATAAATTAATTTGGCCAACTATACATTATTTGTACCAAAACAACAAACACTGATTTAGCTAAACTAGCTAAAAAAAACAAACTAATCAGAATATCTTAGCAACCAAACGATAACTTGATTGCCAAGTTATCAACAAAATTGATAAATTTATTGTTTGATAACTAAGCAATTTTTTGTACTTGTACTTACATAAAAACTTGCATCTCTCCTTTTTGCTGTCTTATATGTGTACTCTTGTACCTGTATCTTTCTGAGTAAAGTTCAGCTTTGACTTAATTAGTGTCCCTCAATTTCCCTGTTTTCGTCCTGCAGCAGCTGTTCAACATCTCATCTGATTAGTTCTTCTGGTTTGATTTTCCACCTCTGCTGCAGGATCGAAGCTCCTACTTTTTCATTATTTATGGCTGGATTCTTCTGTTACACTGCCTGTACCCTACGACCTGCTCCTCTGCAATCCCCTCCCCCATGTTTTCCTTTATGTTGACCATTAAAGAAACTCAGTTCTGCCACAGCAGGTCTCTGCACTCAGGTCGTTCACGAACCACATCATGACAATCTGAGGCAAATTTATACAAATACTACATCTATTACCATAATTTACTCTCACAACAATTCAGTAATAAAGCAGCAGAATGAGAAGCGGCTGATGTACCATCTCAATGTGCCAAATATTCCAACTCATAAGATATTTCTTCTAAAACGACTCATTCAGAAAGTAAATGATGTACATAATAGCCTTTATCATTGAACTTTTCAAAATAACTTCTGCCCACACAAAGCATTAAATAAGATAATCAAAGAGACTGATTTCATAATGGCACTTTCACAGTCTTAAGTGCTTTCACCTCTCCACAAGTCCATTTGTGTGACAAGTTCAGTAAAGATGTACTTATCACCATGGTAACCACCAAAGGGGATGTAGAGGCACTATTTCTCCACTAGTCACTGTGTTTATTAGACAGATGCATCTAGAAAGAACCCAGAGTCTGAACATAAGGTGAGATTTGCTCTTACTGACCAGTGCTGTCATTTCTCTGTCCAGAGGATTGTTCATCACACTGGGACATTTTTATGTAAAAAAATGCTGAGGAAGCATTATGAAGGCAATTATGCGGCTGAAGGAAAGAAATGGACAATTAATCTAAAGACTTTATTCTCTCCCTCAGCAGCTCTAATGAATGACATTTGCAAGCAAGGTCATGTTAGCAGAAAACGAGCACCAGTCAGACGACACCATGAAGTCAGGATTTATTAGACTAAACAATCTAAACTCAAGAACAATTTTTGAATTAACGGTAAACCACAATGTGGCTGTCAGTGTGTTTCAAAGTGGACAGAATCTTGACTCTGGTAAGCACGTTTGACAGTGCAATGCAACATTAGCCCCTTTTCTGATTTAAGAAAGAAAGTAAAGTTGCATTTATAGCATAACTGTTTTCTTTTGGAACATGTGTGATCTTTTAATAACAAGTTCAAGTTGCTAATACTAAAGTGTATGTGATTATCAGACAAAAAAATCAATGAGTGAGAAATCTGTTTCAAACAACTGACCAAATATGGTCTGTCACAATACAGTGGACCCACCGATTCACGGTTCAGTATTCACAGATTTAACCATTTGCAGTTTTTTCTGTGGAAGACAACGCCAAATTATTCGGAAACTTCACCTTCTTCCAGATTTTTTTGTACATCATATGTAAAATATTCTGAAGAAAATGCAGTTTAGGAAGCTGAAATACCTAGGCATGATGCTACTACCCCACATGCTATTGGCTTCTGCAAAGCATCAGGACAGGGCTTTGGTCCCCATAAGGCCCATGGGTCTTCAGAAGATTAGTCAACATGTCAGAGAAGATCCTAAATAGACTGCATAAACACACACACACGCAGGTATTCACAAAAGAGCTTTCTGAGCGTTTTAAAGAGTAAATCAATTTCCCTCAGCCGTTCTCTAGAAACCACTAGAAAACACACACACTCGGCAGAAAAATAACAGAGGGATAACCTCTTATAAACATAAAAATACTTCAATTACTCATCAGTTATGCCACATGGGAACTGAAAAATTATCTACTTGCTGTGCTTGGCACACATTTATGAGAATCTAAAATCAAACATCACCTTAAAGAGCTAGCGCCTTGTTTCTGCCAACATTTCAAAGGTAATGCTACTTCTTAAATGCAAAAACAACACAACAAGCTGTTCTGCTAAACATGAATATGTCTATTATGAAACCTGCAGGGTAAATAATGCAGAGCTAAACTGAAGTTTGTTGAGGTTATTTTCCACATGTACACAGGAAAAAGTCGGCACTGACAAATTAAAAGCATCAAAATACGGTCACCTTATAATAACCTTTTTATATGGCACTTGAGGCATTTATCTTTCATTCTTTTTCGCGCACAATAAATTAAAAATGGCTTCTAATAAAAATTCATAATAATGACTGAATTATTAACATTATACGCTACCCTGAAAAGTTGTACTATGAAAATATGTACATAAAAAATGTAACAATAAATGTAGACTCGCTGTAACATAATTGACTTTGTCCTCAAACAGTTCTGTACTACAAAAGCTATAGCTCAAGAACTGGTTCCAACATGCTTCTGCTAAAAGAATAACTCAGTTTGCTATTTCACAACTTGACAGTCACAGTAAAGCGATGTCATGATGCCACTTAAGCATCTTCAAGCAAATGCGAGAGTCTCCCACTGATGGACTCTGATATTTTGTTGTAGAGTTGAACAGAGACCCTTAATCCAAGTCAAAATTATAGATGGTGACTGAAATAATAATCTGTTTGTAAAACATTCTGACCAGAAATTCTTAAATATTATCAAAGGAGTTGTACTTTTTTTAAATTATTATTCAGATCAAAAAGGAGTAGTATTACGTATTTTCCAGGCACATAGTGTCAGTTTGTAGCATGATCAAGTTCATAAAAATACTATATAGATCAAATATGCCTTGAAAGAAATTTGACATTGTAATGTATCACCTTGAAATTCGGCCTCTATATCTTTAAATGCTCCAGCTCTCTCTGAAACTCCGTCTTGAGGAAGTCATCACAACATTGCTCCTTTATTAACTAACAATGTTTTTACCAGAGTTCCACCAGGTGTTTGCTAATAGCTTCTGGCTAGTCTGAGGGAGCAGAGATGGTGAGTTGCAGGGGAAGGAGGAAACTCCAAGGAGGAGTTGTGCCTCAAAGGCAGCGCTCGGTCCCACCAAGCATTTTGCACAGCTGAGTGGTTGCCATGGAGATTAAAGGATTTTTCAAGCAGATGACAGAATCAAGGCAACACTGCAGCTATGTTTTTGATGATGGAATAGCATAACAACATTAATTTTACATAATACTGCCCCTTTAAAAGCCCAAGCAGGGTCAAATTAGCCCTTGGTGAATTTTCTAAAATATACATTGGTTCATGTGAAAAATAACACTGCTTAAAAAATAAAATATAGTAAATAACAAGCAGCAATTGAGATACACTTACCACAACTCACACATGACAGGTCTAAGTTTAAGGGGGGGGGGGAATTAAGTTATGAGCTTAATAGCATTTTATTAATACCGATAAAAGCCTTTGTGAGACTGAATGACTCAGGCTAAAACACTAAAACCTTTAATAATAGCACTAGAAATCTTGGGGGATTTTTGGCAATTAGTAAGAAAAGTCATTAATGTATTAACCTTTGAAAGGTCAGCTATTGTATGAAATGTATGGATTCCTATGAAGAAATTGAAATCCTTATTTCTACTTGACTGGACCTGAATGATTGCATTTTTTTAAATGCTAATCATTAATAATGACGAAGGGCTTCTGTTCCTGAACCACTGGGAATTTCAGAGGCTATTTGTTCTGCACTGCTGCTTTCGATTCACACAATGACTGGCAGGACCTTGGTTATTTCACTAAGGACAGCTAGTGAAAGGATTGTGGCCCTGGTGCACAGAGGTCCAGACTGGAACTACTCAGAGGACCGAGATGGAAAATTGCTGAAATCTGTAAAGATGTGTGTAAAAATAATTTTAATGACGGTATTTCATTCTATATAAATCAAGTCCAGCCCTGTTAATGAAACTGGGGTTTCTGTGTGCTGCATAAACTAAATAATTACCAACATTCTCTTTAACAAAGAAACAATAACAATAGAATAACATAATTCCTTGTCCTGTATGCAATATAACAGAGAAACAAAAAAATGTCCAGTTTCTGTCAGTTAGGTGAAACCCTAATGAGTGCAGATCTCTCAAATTAAATTTGAGAGCATGCAGTTACAATAATGTTGGCGAGGCAGCAAGTCCTAACACAAAAAAATGCAATTGCCAAAAATTATCTCTGCATGTCATAAAACAGTAGTTTGCAAGACTCATTTGCAATAATCAGACAATAGAAAAAAAAAAAAAACAGAATACAGCCAGTTTGTTTCATCACAGCCAAAGCTCATGCAGATGTTTCATAGAGGGCACATCTGCACCCCTTGGAGCCTCTGTCTGTTGTTGACCAGACGGTGCCCTCGGAGCTCATTACGGATTCCAGTCACACACTCACACACACAATGTGGAGGGAGGCAAGATTGCTAGTGTTCTAGCCACCAGCTAACAAGCAGCGTTGAGAAGAATGAAGTCAGTTTTTCTTCTTTTTTTTTTTTTTAAGAGGTTTTCTCCTACCTTTCAGCACCACCACAACATCCTCGCCATCAGCAGGAGCGGCTTCTCCAGCAGCAGCAGCAGCAGCAGCACCGCAGGCTGAGGGCTCGTCTCCCTCAAACAGCTGGTTCACCTCCCCCTGGATGTCAGAGGGGCGCCGGTCGCCGCCGCTCTTGGAGACGGTGAACCTCTGGCTCATGGTGGTTGTCGCCTGTGAGATAAACCGAGGCTCTTCTTCCCCCCGGTGCGGGGCGACAAAGAAAGCAGCTTCAAAATGCCCTCTGGCGTCTTACTGTAAGGTTTTCTGTCACAGCCACTGAGTTTCCAGCTGACTGACGTGCTTTGGGAAAAAAGCGGTTCTTTGTGAGATTATTAGACGTGAAATACCGAGTGGAGCATCGCATCAACCGGTGTCTGCAGGCTGCTGCTCACCTGGGTCCTAAAGCCGATCACCGACAGAAAGAGCTACAGCAAAATATTACCTATAATATTTAGTTGCAATAAATGTTTGGTTATATTATTAAAAGGTATAAAAAAAATTGGAAACATATAAAATGCTCCATTTGGCAAGCACGACTGTTATGAGCTGGTATCCAAACTGGCACATTTTAACTAATGGAGGGGCACAAAATTCAAGAGTTTAATTTTCTTTAAGTTTTACTTGCTCAACAATAACAAAGCCTTTATTAAATCTGTAGATCATTAAAGTTCCAAAACATAGAAGGGCTTCACACTGCTTTATCAGGAGTAAAACAAACAATTTCTAAATTTTTGGGGTCATCAATTGTTTTCTGTTTTGTTGGCCGAATTCTTCATCATTGACTTGTGGGTCAAACAATATTATTTCAATGGTCAAAATGGGCCACATTTTGGACACCCCTGGTATAAATCATTCAAGATCCAAAACTTCAACAGAGTTTGTGCATGTTTTCCTAAGTGAAAGAAAACCACTTTACTAATTTATTTTGGTCTTGACTGAAGAAAACTGAAAAAATTATCATGATTAGTGTGTTTGAGGATGGACCAAAATGCAGACAGCAGCTGGGAGCATGATGAAAGATTTAATGAAAAACAAAGAAATAAATCACAGGATCCAGATCAGAACAAAAACTATAAATCCAAGAAAAATTCCACCAGTGACCACAGGGAAGAAATAGGGGGAAATAACAGGACCAGCAAGAAGTGCGAGCAAGAGAAGGGTTTAAATATTGTGAGGGTAAATACAGGAACAAGAGATGGGCTGATGAGCTAACGGGTTGCAGGTGTGAGGGGAGAGAGAGAAAATGGCACTAGGGGCAAGGGAGTACACATGGGATGAGGAAATAAATCTAACACTAAATACTTAGACCTAAGAAACATACATAAACAATGAACAAATAAATAAATAGAGACAAGAAATAAACATAACTGGAATAACTAAGAAGAACTGAACTAAAATAAAACAGAAACAACTGATCTAGTCAAATAAACAGACTAAGGAATACAGAATAATCAAACTAGGATTATTTAATCAAAACACCAAAACAACCCAAGATCCTAACAAAGATTGAGTGTATTCTCAGCAATAAAAGCAGCTAATAAAAAGCATTTTTATTGCCTCATCATTTGAAAACATTTGTTGTATTCAGCTAGATTTTATAATTAAAAGTGTAGAGTAGAGGGGTAAAAAAACAAATTATAAGGAAATGATAACACTAAGTGTGAAAATAGGCACTCGGGCCCTACATTATTGTCTTTTTCCATCCTTATTTTCTCGTGGTAAGTTATTCAGCGTTACTGTATTTCAGTTATACGGTGCGATTCCACATACAACCGCTAGAGGGGGCCTGTGGCATTTGTATTATAAAGAAGGTTGGGCACACAGAAGAAGAATAAACCTGAAGCTAAAAGAATCAAGTGTGTTTCATTTTTCTATTTCACAGGTCAGTGAAAATGTATCCTTTTGCATATACACTGGTATTCTTTAAGAATTGAAGTAGTTATTGAATCAAGAGTCAACTAGCCGAAGCTATTAGCTGAGCTGGTTGAACGAGCTGAGAAACAGCTGAAGGATTACTGAATCCACTCTGAACTTATTGTTGTATTGCACTTTTTGAAACGGTTCTCACACAATGGACATTATTTTGGTGTCTTTATTTATAAAATACATATTTCTTTGTGAGTTATTACAAAAAAACGAGATAAACCATATTGTTACCGTGAGTAAGTACTGGCTGCTTTTGTGTAAAACTTAAAGAGACACAGCATTAAAGGAGCACTACACCCTTTTTCAGTTTTGTAGTTGGAGTGGAGTTTTAGTATAAGAAATGAAATATTGTTATTCTGTTAAAACAACAGAATATATAATATAAAAATATTTTAGTATTTTAAAAGCTAAATTACTTAAATATTATAGTATATTTTATTTATGCAGAATACAAATTGTAAAAAAAAACTATTAAAATAATTCAAAGCAAATTCACATATTTTTATTTTGATAGTTAAAAATACAAAAGATCTGAAGAAAAAGAGACATGGTATTTGAGTTGAAGCATTAACTAAAAGAACAAATATGGTTTAGAGAATTAAAAGACATCTGTGAATAGATTTTGTCATTTGATAAAATTCATAATGTTAAAAGAATTCTCATTCAGTTTAAAGGAATATTATTTCCATTTGTGATGCATCCAGACTGAGGGCTAGCTATTATAGGTACACAATGATACCTGAAGTATTGCATATGAAGTATTGTATATGGAGTATTGTATATGAAGTATGTTCATTGCAGAGGAAGAATCAACCTTCCTGCCAGATGTTTAAAAAAAGATTAACACTTGTCTCATCTTCCTATATCACAGTGTCACACTTTGAGAGAACAACATTACCACATTACCCTCAGCCCATCCAAGGCTGATGGGTAACAAAAATAGATTTGAGTACACCACATTCTGCTTTAGTGTAAATAAATGGATGTAGTTGTACCTACCATGGAATTAAAAAGAAAATTAGGGCTTGGGGAAAAGGTATTTTTTGTGTGTTGTATCTGACATTTTTGTGAAAAAAACTTTAATTTGTGGGTCATAGTTTTGTCCTTTTTTTAAGTGTCCATCTGCAATTTTTGGCTCACTTACAAGGTTTATTTGTAGGTTAATAATTGTTTAACTTATTTGTTTGTTTTATTATTTGCCTTTGTAAGGCAGTGGGGCCATTTTCTATAGGTATAGGGAAGAGGCCAGCATGCACTGGGTGGATCTATGGTTGTGTTTTTTTTTTCTTTCCAGAAAAGGAAGAAACAGTAGAAAGGTTAAATTGTGTTTGCTGCTTGCCAAGCTGGATGAATAAACTGTAAAATGCAACCTTCAGGTTTTTGAACATTGGACTTCTTTTACCTGCATATAAAATATTGCCACTGTGCAAGCAGCAGCTTATTGATTTTTGAATGTAGGATGCTTGGTTTGACAAACAATAAAATTACCACTGCACTATATCAATGTCAACATATGATGCTTACAAGGCAGAAGATACACAACCAAATGGGGCTTGTGTGCCCTCCATAGCCTAGCCAATATTATGTATGTTTGCACTGCAAACATATGTACTAAATGTTCAGTTCCACTTATTAACATCTTAAGTATAGTGCCACAATGTCTGAAATTGTAATCATCACATCAGTGTGTACAGAGGAGGAGTAAACACAAACAGAGGAAATGACCTATAGCCAAGGTAATGATGCTGATCTAATAACTAGAGCAAAAAAAAAAAAAAGCTAAATACAAGGAGTAAATGAACAAGAATAAACAGGGGAAAAAAGAGTGAACTAATGAGACGCAGGCTTAGCATAAATACAAACACACCAGTGGTACTCATTGAACAGTGTCATAACACAAAGAATTTAATCTAATGGAGCACCCTCGAGATGTGGTGCAACGTGTGATGAACCTCATATGTATAGAGTCAATCTCTAACAAATGTGTGACAGTATCATGTCAATATGGGGGGAAATAATTGAAGAGTAATTCTGACAAGTTGTTTAATTTATGCCAGCAATGTTAAGGGATTCCTGAAGACAAAAGGGAGTCCAACTTGGTACAAAGTGGTCCTAATAAAGTAGCTGTGGTGTGTTTATGGTAGTCTGACACTGTTTCAGAGTAAGCAGACTTGCATAAAGATGCATAAGAAAAACTATTTAATGCTAGGTTCAAGAAAGTAATCCATCATTCACATTAAAACATCGTTTTTTGTTGTTTTTTTTAATTTTAGATTTTACCCAATCTTCCAAGGGACAGCAAGATCAAGACAGCATTCCATCATAGCTCTTGCCTCGAAGAGGTAAAAAAAAACTAATAGGGTTGTTTATCTTGTGTTAAAGTTTCTGTTTGGTAGGGCAAAATGTGTCAAAATTTGTTGTGTTACAAAGATTAATGGCCAAACTTATCCCATTAGTCATAATGGCAAGATTATTTCCACTGGAACAGCTTTTCAAGTATTTCTAATTATATAAATAACACATAACTCTGTAGTCTGATTTGAATATTTTTTATTACATTTATTCAAAGTCACAGATGAATTATTGGGTTTCGCCATTTTAAAATCTTAGCATATTCGATTTATATTTGGTAATATGTCAGCTCTGAGATTGACATATTACATATTGAGATTTTTTTTTCAAAATAAAAACAGTTTGAACAACTCTCTTTAATTATTTACTAACACATTTACATGTAAATTACCAAACTGAGCCTTTGCATATGTGCAAGTTTTGAAATGTGAGTTAAGATCCTTAAAAGTTATTTATTTAGCAGGGCATAGTGCCACCTCCACCTGCCATATCATCATTTTGCTATAAATTACTATAATGTGTTTGTGAAGGATAAGGACAGTAATTCAGATGCTACAATAGATTTTTAATGTTTGGTATTTGGAAAGGTATATCCTAAATCTTAAGCCAGAAACAGATTTCAAACACTGTGTGGATTGCAACAAGTTCTGCCATTATTTTCCACACTTGAGAAAGTATACATGAGTGATTGATTCCATTTTTTTTTTTTTTTTTTTCATAACGCCTGGTTTACCAGAGACTATCCCAGGCACTCTGAGCCCATCCAAGCACAGTACGGGGATAGTACAAAACTTTATCCGTAACACATGTGAAGATCCCTGAGAACATGTTTTTGATTCTTTCTGGAAATTCTCGTTCGAATTGTGAAGAATCCATCGTGGTGTTATAGGAACTGCAGTCTGTACAAAAAGCAAAAGGAAGGAATGAAAGATTAAAATGTATGTAAAGTCAATACATACGTTCCAGAGACTGTTGTATGTTATACAAATGCAAATTCACCATTTACATGGAATAAATCCATATAATTTTTTATATCATTCTTACAATGCATAATGTGAGCAATAGAAAGGATGA